GTGGCGTCGGGAAGCCTGCTGCCCATCTATCTCAGAGCAGAGACCAGACAGGCTCTATCAGCTGTCACTGTTCCAGACAGCTCCGTCTAGAAGACAGCTAGAAGATTGAATTTACATAATACAGCAGGACCCGATAAATCATGGTTTCTTGCATATGGTCTAGTTTTCATTGCTCGCTAGAACCTAATTTTCACAGTGCTTCAATATTATTTTTCCACATCATTTTGTTTCTAGCCTGGGTTTGTGTAGAAAGTTTGGTCCTAATTCTCACCAAACACCAGGCCACTAGTGTAACGAACAGTTCTTTCCGGACCCTATGCGGACGACACAATCCAAAGAAGTGGGGAAACACTGGGAAAACGTCATGCAGGAATACGGGGCTGAAAACAGGGGGGCGTGTCCGAAGTGTGCTGGTGCACGGGGGAGGTGTGGCCGAGGCAAACAATCCAAGAGAGTAATCCTTAGAGGGAATCCAAAAACACAAGAGTAAGTCCAAAGCCAGGAGATCCAACAAAACAAGGAATTAAAAACCATGAACCGGGTCGGAACCGGCGGACTAGGACCGGGAACAGAGGTTAAATCCTTAATGGGACCAGGCACTTCCAGGTCCCGGACTCGCATGGTGCGGAAACCAGATGCAGAGCCAGGATGAGCGTCAGCGCCTGGCTTTTAAGGTGGGCTGGGAAAAGGGATCAGGTGCACAGAATTAAGTCTAAAGTGAAAGGGCTGGAGCACCCTTAAGGAGGGGAGACTATAATCGTGACAACTAGGGTATTAATACAAGCCTCTCCCACCATTGCTCACACTAACACCCCTTCACCACCCCAGTTTCAATGGCAAGGCTGTAATCCCCCAAAGCAGCCGTGTTAAAACCAACCATATCAATAACACTTACATCTCGATTGCAGTTCCTGGTCTTAGTATGGAGCTGCAATTCTAGACAAATCTATATGCAACATCACTGTGAAAATGGCTTTGTGATTTCATTCACTAGCACCAGTAAAACTCCTGCCATGTGAATCTTACTGTTAAAAATGTTTGTTACTTCTAATCTTGATTTAATTAATCATAGCCTTCCCTTTTCTGACGGGTACTGTCCATACGCCTGTTACCGAATCAAACAATTTTTATTTTTTTTCTGGGGCCGGTAGAATTTACTGAGCTCCAGGGAAGAAAAAGAGGCTGTGATTACATTATCATTATTTTGTCACATCACCAGATGGCAATTTTTGTAAGCTGCAGAAATGACCAGGTGTAAAAATGAGAGATCTAATAATAGCGGAGATGCTGCATCTGTGAGAGAGCTTGCCTGGCATCGGTTTTTAAATCAGAGTCACTCAGCCAGGCTTCGTCTGAGGTTCTGTCATGATGATGACAGCGGAATCCGCTGATGATCCCAAATGAGAAGCACAACGAGATGCGGGATACAAAGTGCGCCCGTCTTTATGGTAATGCCTTGTACTGCGGTTATGACTAAACAAACCCTTTATTAAGTCCTTGATTAGGATAAACACTGGCAGCCCCCGTGCAGTGTCATGATTTATCAGGTATCTTTGCACCTTAAGACAGACTGAAAATGGGCAGGCTGCCTTTACAGGCAAGGCTGTGGCCAATTCTGTCCTCTTCTCTTCTGTTGAGAATAACGGCAGAATCGGGGTGAAAGAGGTGCCTGCGACTGTCTAGACCTGAGGAAACTAAGCTACTTTGATTAATAGTCTTTTCAGCAACGGGTTTATTCTTCTCTAGTCATAGTGAAGCACAGCCCAATATGAAAGTCACGGGGCACATAGCAGGACTTGACCCTGGAGGGGATGTAAACTAATGTACATGCAAATATGTGCAAGGTGGAAGGGCAGCCTAGACAGCATGCCTCTGAACTGCGAGAGGAAACTGGAGCACTCAGAGAAAACCCATGACTTGTGAACTCCACCATGCTACTCTGGAGACTTGCATCATACACGTGTGGTTTATCATACATGGTTATGCAATAACTTGTCTCAATGAGGGGCAACCAGTGAAAGACAGTCTAGTCGCAAGTATAGGGAATTCCACAAAAAACTTCAAAAACCTAATTTCATACTTAATGAACAGAAGGCATGTCGGATTCCTTCCAACTATCGGAGGAGGAACACATATCAATTTCAAAGAGCTTTTTTGGCATGACCGATGAAATGCAGTGTTGCAAAAGCAGGGACAGTTAACAGAACGTTTACAAAAAAAAAAAACAACATTATTGGAAATTTCCGAACGGCACATAAAACATTTGACACCGAGCAGCTTACGTTTACACTCCTGTGAAAAGATCTCGTTTTCACAAAGCAGGCAGGAGGAAGCGAGCACTGCTTGCGGATGGGTGTGGCATTGACACTGGGCAATTCTGCAGCAAGGAGGAAAAGTCACGTTGGCCTCCACTGCCACCACTCCCAAGTAAATAAGACTCTGGCACGTCAAGCCAGTACACGCAAGGGCTGCTGGGATGTACTTGCAGAAAACCTACCCCATCGCCTTCCTCAGTAACCTTGGAGAAGTGTGAAAGCTGGACCAGGTGGTGTCAACATGTGACATAAAGCGTTTCTAGTTTCCCTGCAAGAAGCTGTAACAAGCTCTGTTGGGTCTCTGTTGTTTAGAGTGGAATCAGATTTTCTTTTTGCTGAGGGTAATCGGTTAATTTACTATCAGTTTCTCACATAGGCCAGTGCATTAGTGCCCTCAGCACGGTGAGCTCAAATTCTTTGAAGTGTGCAACACTGGATTCGTAGCATTATCCTTTATTGGAGCGGCCCAGCAGTAACTGGGGAGATGCTCCTTTGCAAGTCAGTTGGCTGGGTTTCTTTGGCAGTTAATTAAGTTCACTTGCTCGTTTAGGTCTCTGCCTTAGATCAAAGCCTTCCCTCCTGGGAGGGGATGGGAGGCTGGAGAAGGAGGAGGAGGAGAAGGAAGAGAAAGGAAGAGAAAGGGGGCCAGCCAGCAGGGCACTCAGCTGCCAGAGGTTTCTGGGAAGCCAGCCAAGAGGATCTCTCCTGGTGCCGAACGCTTGCCGGAAAGTGTGAAAACTCAAGTTCGCTCGCACATGGGACAGTTGGTTTACTCTTGGGCACAGAATAACGCGACAGGCCAGGACTCACCTCCTGTATATGGCCAAGAAACCTTTAGGATTCCTCCTTCATCTTCAGTGGACAGGCGTTCTACATCAGATGGGCTGTTTTGAAATCATAGCCTTCTGAGTAAAGCTGGTTGCATTCACCAATGAAAAGGAGTTTCGATGGCCAGCATGGCATATCGTTATTCCAGAAATATATGTATACCCATAGCTCTTTTTACGAATATCATTTGTTCCCAGAAACCCTTCAGAATAGCGAACATTGGTACACCTGTTTTCTTTATTTCTTATGGGGCAGAAATTGGGATCTGTTCCAGAATCCACAAATGTACTTTTTTCCCCCAAAAAAGATGAAAGAAGCAATAATATCTAGACAACATTAACCATGCCTAAGTAACCACATAATTTGGTTTTTGTGTAATTACACACACTCACAATTTTCGTTTTCTTAACACCTTTAGCGCCCATGATAAAGTCTGAACCACAAGTTTCCTTACACGAAAAGTAAGAGCGCACACAATAGCGAACACTGCACGAAGCAAGCCATTCCTTCACCGTGTGTCAGCCAGGGGTGAGTCATAATCAATAATAAGGAAGGACTTACTAGAGGGTTAAAAATTAGTCCACCTCAGTATGTTATATATATATAGGTTTATTCCATGCTGAAAAGAGCATATACATACAATAGTTCAGGTAGGTGCTGTACAGAAGCTGCGTGCGTAGGCTGCAAAGGAACAAGTATAGGTTTATTCCCTGCTGAAAAGACAGTTCTCACACCTGAAGAAGGCTCCACAGCCGAAACGCTGTGTTTCTGTTCTTCTCTTTTCAGCAGGGAATAAACCTTCACTTGTTGCTTTGCAGGTGTATTTATTGTTTGAGTCATGGTATTGTAAATCCATCCTCTTTCAAGTGCCAGAACTAGGATGTTTTTCTCGTTTTCTGAAGTCCTGAATAGCGCCAGGTAATTATCCCTGAGCTGTTTCTCTGCTGCCAGAATCTCGACTTTCCATAGTCAGTGTTGTATTACACAAGACCACTTAATTATGCTGTAATTATATTATAAAATACAATGTTTTTCCAGTGCCCCCCTTATTTAATTGAACTTTCTTGTACTTGCAGATCTTTCTTGTGATAATTTGTATTTTCCTTCAAAATTAATTACATGTTATCTGCTGCAGCATCTGCAATAACACAGTTGCAGAATATATTTGGTGGGCATTCTGCATGTTCACAGCCTGAAACACACACACAGCCTCTTCAGATTATTTTTTGGAATGTAGTGGTTGATAAAATAGAAGGTGAAGCTATTTGTGAGTATTGTGAATCTGGGCTGATCTCTTTTTTGTATTGGTATTTATGTGTTGGTATTAATGTGTTGGGCTTAAGCCTGGCCACTGAAGTTGGAAGATAACATTGGTGCGTTGGTTGGCATCTTTGCCTGGATGTGCTGAAGTTGTTGCTTTAATCATTTCCTGCTTCTAAATCAGCATCTTTTTCTTTTACAAACATCAAGGGCTTAGCAGCTTGACTTCTGGGCTAAGGCTTACGGACCTTAGATTATTCAGATTTCTCAGTGGTTTGCATTGTGAGAACATTGTAAATCCCAAAAAAGCTTTTTGTTGTTTCTGAGTACAGTGTGCAAATCAAGCTTTCAAGCACGTCTCTAGATGTAAGGCATAAGAGACTGTGGAAGTGATTGACTGAGAAGTGTGACTTTGTGAGAGAAGTTTAGTGTCCACTTAAAAGTGACACCCTAATCTCACATAGGTGGTATAATTCACTTTCCTGGTACTCCTCTTCACTGTCTGAGAATTAACATGAGTCAGTTGGCTCTCCTTAAAAATATATGGAGGTGACAGCTGTGTTAGTCAGGAGAGAAAAGCATTTTCTATTTCCCCAGGAGCTGCCTGCAGCAAAATCGAACAGAGCTAGATTTCTAGAGACCTGCACCATTACCAAATGCTCTTGGAGTGATTGACTGAGAAAAGGCATCTATGTCAGTATGAGATTTTCAGGAGACTAGCTATTTCAAGGTGAGACACTGAGCCTGTTTTTTTTTTTAAATACAATTAAAGTGGTTATTCTGATGTTATTTCAAGCATGGCACAGCTGGGCATGATGCACGTCCACATTAAAACAGTCTCTAATTTTAGTAAACAGTAGATTTGTCTCATATTTAAATCCGTAGTGTTTAGGAACTCAGCTTTTGTGTAGATCATAGTAAAACCCTGTGCATGACTTGTGAATTGAACATTTATTGACAAAAATAGCTGCATGACGTTCAGAAGTGATTGGTCACATTTGTGACTCTCTAAAGTTGTGCTGTTTGATTAGTAAATGTTAAGTGATCCTGTTAGCTTTTGTGGTTGTGGTTTTCCTGGAGATAACCCTCTGGATTTTGTACTGTATATCCGTTATCTCCAGGGCAATCAGTTAGCGAACTACAAGAAAAAAAGTGGAAACTGAAACATAAATAATGCTCCTTATATTTTCAGCCACTTGACCTTCAGAGCTGGTTTTAACCATGAATGAGTGTTTTTCATGCATTATTAGAGGAGGCCAAAATGCACCCGAGTTTTGAAATCGGAGCCCAGGTGGATGAACTAAAAAACTTGCAATGACCTCAGTGGAAGTGAGGATTTGGGGGAAGTATCCCAAAGGCACAGCAGTGAATGTGAAGTGTTCGAGGTAGCCGCAGCTGTAGGCACTCTGACGGGAACAGATGTAGCGAACGCTGGCAAAATGGAAAGAATCTGAAGTACCATTTGATGATTTAGAGGAGCAATGATTTAGAAGAAAGAAGCTTGGTAGCTCATGTTTAGTCTTACCACTCAGGTTAATTGTAAACCATATCAATGTATATGCAGTAAACCATATATGATGATATGAAAAATTGTAATTGCACAAAAAGTAATCTTTTTCAGTAATCACATAAACAGTCAAAATGTTCAGTAGGTACAGTATGTACTGCCTATACTTTCCCTGTAGTCCAGCACAGACATGTCTTGACTGAGTTGCTGATATTTGGTCGCTCATTGCAACTGGCAGCTCCAGTCAGAGAATGAAGACACCCAAAAAATGTAGCTAGGTGCATTGAAGCCGTAATTGTGTTAGCATGAGGGAAGTCATGGAGGGTGGAGGTATTGAAGCCATTGGACATCTGTCATTGCCAGTGGCAGGCAGCACGCTGTCACAACTGTCAGGTCCTGCACAATGTGCAGCCTCAAACATCTCCCCTTGATCTTTATCAGTGTAGACGCAGCAGTGCTCAGTTTTGTTCTTGGCAGCTAAGTGCTATCAGTCCCTACAGCTCAGGATTCAAAGGCAGGAAAGGAGCCTTGCTGCGAATTTAGAGCAGTATTCCGTTTCACTATGCAAGCTAATAAAATTTAATTGCTTCCTTTTAAAAGTTAAAATAGCTGCTCCAGGATAAAATATCCCCAAGCAGTGTGGGGAGCTGAAGTGAAGCTGGAAAGTTAAAATGCATATTTGCTGCAGACAAAAAGGACAAGGGTTGCTTAGAAAACAAGCCATTTCAATTTAAGGGTGTGATCTGCAACTGAAGTTTACAGATGGATGACGATAGGATCCTTATGTTGTTCTTGAAAAAAAATAATAATTCCTTGTCCTTCAGGATCAACCTTCAAGTCAGTGATAAATAACACTGAAGCCTGAAAATCAATGCGTGACATGTCATTCATTTATAAAGCTGGTTATTGTAACCGAGTAGTGAAAAGGCTCAAATAAATCTACTATTTGTTATGAACATTTCTGTGTTTTACAGTGATTGAGCTGAGATGTCTTGTTAGTGCAAGTTTGGGGCTGTTCACCATATTTACTTTTAGTGCTTGAGATGCATTTTAAAATCACTTAAAAGCTATTCATGTGGTTTGCATGCACAGGCTGTGGCTATCTATTGCACATCAGAAAGAGCAGTTCTAAGCATGCAGTATTCCAAAATGCATCACGCACCCTGTGCATTTAGACCGCACTGTATACATTTGAATGAGAAATTTTATATATTCCCATTCTGCATCTGTAATAAATTTGAGACGAAACGGGAGTAATGGGTTATTGTGCCAGTATGGAACAAACTTCATGCCTACAGAAATCATTGCCACCTCACATATTTCACTTAATAAACAAATAGACACCAGCTGCATTCCAGTACCCAGCACTTTTATTTATTAAGAATGGACAGACTTCCTTTGTTTCCATGGAATGCCTTCTATAAAGAATGGAAGTCCAGCATGCGGGACTGAGATGCAGTGGTTTGTTTTGACATATTGTAATTATCCAATGCTTTGGCCATGATTTAAAAAATAGCTTATGATTTAAAAAATAAACTTTTGACCAAACACAGTCACAAACCTCGCACTCACTGACGACTTTCCTCTGCATGGAGAAAATGCTTGGAAATTTTTTTTCCTTCAAGTGAGGATTTGAACTTTGTGATGGGCAGTTAGGGGTGAAGGTTCAGCTTAATTCACGGCTTCTTCAGGGTGTAGAAACACTGCAGCTTTGGTCTCCATTATCAAAGAGGTCTGTGAAACCGAAGAGACAGAAAGAAAAACCCATGCTAATTACCTGCAACACTAAACTCTAAGAAAAACAGCTGTAATTGCCAAGAAGATTTTTCCTTAGCTTTGATAATAAATTCATATTTAACCTTTAAGAACTGAGCTCCCACATCAACATGAGATTTCGAAGTCTCTGCTTTTATTTATGATTCATTAATGTCTCTCATCCAATTTAACAGTTTCTCCTAACATGCCTTGCAGCTGAAAATGAATGTCCTCCGTGGGCATCTTATCTGTGGGTATGGAGGCTGATGAGGATAATCTGGGACAGAGTCAGCTGCAGCCCGGGCCGCGTGTTTCATGTGGGAACGGTCCACAATGTGTTGGCTGTTTGCAGTTCTCATGTTGTTGTTTTTGTTTTGCAGAGATCTTAATGTTTGTCTGTCTGGATTCCGTCTAAATTCGAAAGATCTTCTACAGGCAGTATTGATACCGCTCAGGAACAAGTAAAGGCTTATTCCGTGCTGACAAGAGAAGAAAGGAAACGCAACATTTCGGCTCTTCAGCTAATGTAAGGAGATGATTTGGGGGGGTTCTTGCAGTGATCTTATCAGTGCTGGTCAAAAGAGCCGTTCGTCTGTACGCCTCCTTTCTTAAAGACTGCATTTAACCATCTCTAACAGGGCTGATTAACGAGTGAAGGATGTTCAATAATAATTTATTAGTCTTCTCTGGCAAACTTACATCCTAGTCATCCCAGGATCACACTGGTAATGGCATTTACAAGCATGAGACTGTGCTTGACGTTTTTCTTTCCATTAGAACCTTTTCAGGGTATTTTAAGGATAAGCAGCTTGCATGTGAAACGAACATGAAAAGATTTTTTTAATGCACTGTTCTTGCTTTGTGTTAGGATCTTTGATGTGGGAATGTGGCGTCTTTGATGAGCACTTATTATAGCTTGATTTTTTTTTTCTGGACCTTTTTTTTCCCCCAAAGTGACATAAAATGCCATTTGATGACATTTCAGTTTTGCTCCAAGTGTCAGGGGAAAGAAATGTAGACCAATACGGCTTCCAAATGTATTCAGTCCGTCTAGCTCATTTGGTTACTTGTAGTCTGTCAGTCCCAAAATCTCATATGGCAGCTTCTTGAATAGGAGTCAGTGCTTTGATGGCTAAGCTGGGCAGCTTTTTTTGGCAGACAGTCATGATGTAAAACTCGTGAAGGATCAAAAATAATAAAGCCATAAAAACTGAAAGCAGAGGAAACACGAGTGCTCGTGTCTGGAATGGACGTGCTGCAAGAATAATCAGTGGTTTACAGTTGACATTATCATTGCATTCCAGGTAATGCAATGCAGATTGCATCTGTATTGATTTATGGTGTACAGGTGACAGGTGTGCTGTAAACGTGTAGCCCAGTAATCGGGAGGACAACACTGAATGCTCAATGGAATGAGAAAACCTGTCCGCTCCTCCGGTGCATTACTCCAAGAGCCATCAAGGCAATGTGGCAGAACCACTAAAGACCATGAGCGTCGTGGCTCTCCGCATGCGGGCTTCTGCCAGTAACCTGAAGCGATGTGATGTGAGCATGAGCCCGTTGTTCAAGGCTGACAAAGACACAACACAGGCATGTGTAATGCAGGCCTGAGGGAGCATGAATAATGAAAAGCAGCAATTTCTAAAGATGCCTCGCTGTTCATGACAAATGCTGGCAGCTACTGCCCCCCAGTTAATATACTGTAAGGAAGAACCCTTGACAGAGGGGTTTTACAACTACAACAAAATACCTGGCACAAAATGGAGTAAAACTGTTCTTTCTAGTAGCGGTCAGGTTTTTTAGGGGCCCAAACATACGTGCCTTCAGGGAAAGTTAACATGTTTCATTTGATGTTAACATACACCTTCTCTTCTTAGACTTTCATAGATACTTTGGAACAGAAATGCTCAGGTCATACATCGATAAAGAATAACAATCTAGTCACTTTTTCCTTTTATCTGCAGCCCAATTTTTTCTCTCAACTCGTACACACATAATGGATTTCCTGGGTGATGGAAATCAAGAATAAAAAGATTTATTCTGACATGTCTGATGCTAGTGATCTAGGAGAAGAATGCTTAATGAGTGATCAACAACCTGTGGCAGATGTGAAAATCCGTTGCTCTTGCTGAATCAATGCATTTAATTGGAGTGTTTGAACAATCTGCAAGTCTTCCCAATTTAATTAGGCTGGACAGCCCTCCTCTATACTACACCATATTTCCAATTCCTGTATTGAGTCCAAGTTCAAGAGTTGATTCGAGACACATTGCATTCTGAATATACTTATCACCCTTTGCTTTAAAAGAATAGCTATCATTTCTCTAATGAAATTTGGAAAATGGTTTTATCCAACTTGATTTAAAGTGCATACACATTGAAGAAAAGCTCCGCCACTTCATGCTGGCGTGTTTTCAAAATAGGTTCTAGGTTTTATATCACATCTGAAGAACAGGGCACAGAGAATGTAAATAATTTGTGACACAGTGGCTCAGCAGTAGAGAGAGAGTCCTGCCACAGAACCACAAAACCTTTGGAAAACCAGTTTTCCTCAAGAACTGGAGCACCTGGCTTCACTGGACAAAAGCTCAACATTTTGTCACACTGAATCAAGCAAAGGCAGCGCAGTGTCAAGGTGAACATTAGGTAGAGATTGCTTCTCTGTTATGCAGTAACCTGAAAGCCTCTTCCAGCTGAGAAGAGGAGTATTGCAAATGAACCGTTCAGCTTAACAGTGGACGAGCAAGACGGAAGAGAAACTAACAGAAGACAGAAAGTGGATCTGGAGACGAGGGGGACAGGACCTTTAATGTGCAATGCTACATTGAGCCTTCAGCTAAAATCAATATCATTTCGTGTTTATGCGTTTGTGAATGCGTAGTTCCTTCCCAACAGCAGTGGCTTGGGAACCGCAGAGCCGGCCCGGAGTTGTGCTGGATGAAACATTTATGATGGCAGCATACGCCTGCAATGCCGTTGTGAGTATCTGTCCGTAGCAGATGCATCCCACAGCCACTTCGAGGCACGCACAAGCACACAACCGCAGTGCCGTTTGCAGGGGGTTCGGTGAAAGATGAAAGGCTTGGCTTTAAAGCAGCTGGAGGGCCATCAGTAAGCACTCTAGACTTCTAAGAAAAAGAAAGTGTCTTCTTGTCGGAGTCGGAGCTAGGGGTTGCTCCTCCCTAGATTAATTGCAGCAGGGCTGGAGTGTGGAGGCAGGCTGCTTGACTGGTTTAAGCACCCGAGACTGCAGAGGCATTGCTGTGTACTCCATGCTCAGTGATGGAGCAAATTCATAGATGGGGATTACTAGGAGGCCATCATTGGTAAAGGCCATTGGGAAATTTGGCCAGGATGCCAACCACGAGAAACGCCACAGAGAGTCAGGACCTCGGTTTTACGTCTCATCCGAAGAACGGCACCTTTTTACAGTATAGTGTCCCTGTCACTATTCTGGGGCATTAGGACCCACACAGATCGCAGGGTTAGTGCCTCCTACTGGCCAATCCAACACCACTTCCAGCAGCAACCTTAGTTTTTCCCAGGATGTCTCCCATCCACGTACTGACCAGGCTCACACCTGCTGAGCTTCAGTGGGTTGCCAGTTGTGAGCTGCAGGGTGATATGGCTGCTGGCTAGTTCTGCTTCATTTGTTTTGCTGCTGTACGTACACACAGTGGATCAGTCAATGTGTTCCTGTCTGCCATGACAGGATGGGGGTTGTGCCCTGACCACATGGCACCCCATCAGTAACCAGGTATAGAGGAGGAGCCCAGAAACCATAGCAAAGACGAGCATGGAGAAAGAAGCTCACAAAACAGTAGATGCTGGAACAGAAATTTGCATCCTCAACTTGTCTCAAAACTTGCAGTACTGTCCTAAATTTTAAACTCATGTTCTGGCTTGGCTTTCCATTCCCAAGGTACCTACTATATAAGAAAAGAAGAGCAGATGAAATATCTTGTCATGGTATTCCATTTTAAATCGGCAAAATTAAAAGCTGCTTTTAATTTATTTTGTTTGATGTGTTCTGCCCTCAGATAATGAAAGAAAGTCCGGTGTAAAGTAGTATGAGCTGCCAAAAGTGCTCTCACTAAATAAAGCATGAGATGAGCATAGTCTCTTTAAAACCTTTGTTGCGCTTCTTCAGTTTTTTTTCTGTTTTCAAAGACAATGCTGAAAACCCTGATGTTGTGGTAAGGTAATGACAGATATTCCAAGGCCAGGCCACATGCAACCTGGGAGAGCTTTCTATGGGGTTGAATTCTTTCCTGGTTACCATGGAAACCAGAACTCAAATGAGTGGGTTTCACTTGGTATAGTTTTTACAGACGAAAAAGAATGTAGAAAATTCATTGTGTGTTCCAGAACAGAAAGACAAAGGGCTTGCTGGGATCTTTAAAAACACGTGCTCCCCGAAGCAGTGAGAGGGAGAGAGAGAGAAAAAAAAAAATACGAGACAGAAAAAGAGAATCAGCAGATTGTGCTTTTCATACCCACGCACGGAACAGGTTCAGCTTTTCCCGGGATGGTCAGAGCAGCAGGTAAGGCAGAGCTAAGGCGATAAAGGGGCCCGATGCTAGTGCCGCACCGACAGAGGAACGTCTCTGCAGGGCGCATGTTGAAACCGGCAGGCTTGCCACAGAGGCAATACGACATCAAGCACAGGAATAAAACAGTCACAGAGCAGCAGCTCTCTAGTTAGTCAGACTCTCTGTCTTGTGATGCAGGGCCTGACACAGATGCACATGCTGAAGAGTGTCTATTTAAAACATGCATTTGGCTCCTTGTTGGTAACCCTGAGAGAAAAGGATGTCAGACCACACTGCAGGCTAGGCAGTGTTTCAGAGAGGTGTGCATCACTGGAACTGGACTGAGGAAACTTATTACTCTATGGTATACATCTAGGAATGTAGATTTTCTGGTAGGAAGTATAAAGAGGACAAGTGAAGTTTGGAAGTTTAGTTTTTGTTTAGACAAGGTTCTTGATCCTTAAAGTAACCTAAATAGAAACCACTTCTGATTTCTCAGCAGAGCTGCAGTCTTCTAAAAGAACAACAGATCTCTCTAATTCTGTTTGGATGTACGGTTTCTGCCTGACAACAAAGGGCCAATCAGTGTTATAGGGGGCATTGTTTTAACAGGCTGAGAGGAAAGCAAAATCGCATTTACCACTCCGATTCCAGCTCTGCAGGGATTTCCATTTACATCATATAAGCGCATCTCAGATAAACGCCAATTAAGCAACAAAACCCAGTCAGGGACTCGGTGTACAGCGAGATGCTGGGGTTGTGATGAGAGAAGATCACGAAAGGGAATGCTAATTTAAACTGCAAACAAATGTGGTTAGTTTATGTGAAATGACATTTTCCTCTAATGCAAAAGAAAAAAGACTCAGAGGAACAATTCACTGCTTGCAGGACATTGTTGGTGAGCCTCTGTTAGCAATTTTGCAGCTTGGATTGGTACTTGGGGAAATAAATGTGAGGTAGGAAGTGCTTAGCATTTATAGTTCTCAATAAAATA